TAAAATGTTAATTCACTCAATTCTAAAATTCCATTCAAATCCGAACTAATCAAATTATATTTTAGTCGTGAAACGAGTGTTCTTTCCTCTTGATTTTAATATTTTAAAATATATTACTGAGAAAAAGAAAACAATTGTAAAGTGTGCCTTATGAAATATATGTTGATGTTTCCGAAGAAGTTTTTGCAAGAATCCGAACCAGCAAAGTCTAACACAATGACTTCAGGAATTTGCACGAAAAAACAAGCATGCAGTATTCCACTACATACTGGAGGAGGTGTTTGATCATTGTGACCCATCGATATTATTCACTCCTTTTCGCAATCTGTTCAAGGCTGGAATGACAACGCCTGAAGATCGCCGAAGAGAACGAAGAGAAATGAACGCTATTTGAAACCAGATTTGTAAAGTTTATATTTTTTAACGGTCTTAAATTGTTTTAACCCGCATTAAATAAATTGCTGTATTTGGAAACGCCGTTCCGTCATTTAAATAAATTAAATTAAAATCTAATCTGTTTACTTCTCAGAATTTTCTATTCACTCAAGCAACACTCCGCTTTTAACATTTGATATAGAATTAATTGTGTAATTCATTTTTTACGGCTTACCAACCTTTTTGCATGTTATTTAAAGCCAGTAAATATTTCTCTTTAAGCTGTAAGAATTTTTTGAGATATTTAGGATTTAGTGATGCAAGTCTGGGGGTGGGGAGAAAAGGTGGATTCATACTTTTCCCAAGGGTATTTGCATGCCAGTTAATATAACGAACTCAATTGGAATTCGAAGGGGTCACCCCTCCAAATACTGACCAAGCACGATGTTACTTATCTTCGGTGATCGTACGAAAATCGGTGTTTCAATGTGGTGTGGATGTAAGCCAAAATTTGATATAGAAAAAAATTGTTTTAGTCCTTTTAAAACATGTTACAGTTTACATTCTATTCTTTCATTTAAATAAACTAAATTTTTGAATCATCCTACCTACTCCATAGACTTTGCCATCCACCCCGCTTATTGAAACGCCCCGTTTATAAGATTTTGAAAAAGTGTTCAGCCTTACCATTTATTCCAATACCACCTTTTATTCAAGAGAGAAAAATTGAGTTTTTATATAACGAAAGAAGAAGAAGTTAAAGGCAGAATTTATGATCCCATTGTTGGAGCAGCGTCCAAAACACGTCGTCAAAGTATCATAAATGTATTACATATATATATATATATATATATATATATATATATATATATATATATATATATAAAGATTGAAAATTATCAGAGAAAAATAAATATTAAATATTAAAGACGATAATAACATTTTATTGGAATATATACTGTATTTAAGAGTCATTTATTTGAAGATAGAAAATAACACATTGAAATGAAGAGTAGAGACAGCTAACTATTGTAAATGAGTGATAAAACAGAGACTGGTAGCGATGGTAAGGAGCGAAACATTACTTAGTGGTTAGGAAGTTGTAGAGGGTCATAACCCTCCTCGTCCTAGTAGGATAGGATACACAAAAGAAGAAAATTGTGTTGGTGTTTACATAAAAGTAGATATTAGCAAAAATGATCCAACTGACAGTTAAATTAACAACTGCTTCAGTGGAATGTGTTTCATTATTTGGCCTATCTCGAAAGCCCTTAACCGTAGAGTACTCCTGTTTGGATCAAAATATTACTCGTGTGATTTGGTCGATGAAGGTAATTTGATAAGCATTGCACTAAAAACGCAAGCTTTCGTATATTGGAAGAGTCCATTCCATTTTAAATTATCGATGCTACAAATTTTCTAGGCAAATATGATATTTGATATAAAGAATGCAGTTAGGGGTTAATGTTAGAAACATGCCCAAAAAAATTCTTGATACGAAAAAAAGTAAATAAAAGCAAACAAAAATCGAGTCTATACCTTCCAACTTCTTGGAAAACTTTCATGTTTGTAGTTTCCGTACAAATGCGACAAATGGCACGCCTCGCTTTTTTATTTATAAGCACAAAAATACGTGTTATTATCGAGAAGCATTGCCTACATATCTTAACAGCGATAATTGCCGCTGCAGCCTTATTAAATCCAGCTTGACATCGTATAAATTCCATAAGAGTTATTGTAAAATAATTTGGTTAATAAACGCTGTTGTATCAGCTATAAGAGCAACAATTACGACAATTTTTACTGATGGAAAGAAAATTGGTTCTCATTCAACCGCGGTTTAAATTTCAACGTTTCATTTATCCAAGGCCAGTTTCAGAAAGGAATAAATTATAACAGTTTTGAAATAATCATCCACCAAATGAAATTGCCAGTAACTTGAATAAAACAAAGAAAAATTCGGCAAACGATAACCTTCGACCCACCCACAAAAAAAAACAAACAAAGTTTTTTCCCTTGACACCGCCATTTGCTCGACAATGTTTATTGTTTTAAAAAACAATTATTAAAATTAGCATAAAAAATAAACGTATGATTTGAAAATTTACAAAACTATTGTACATTATTTATTTAATAGATTATTCGAAATTATTGGAAATTAAAAAAATACATCCTTATATATATATATATATATATATATATATATATATATATATATATATATTGTAGGTATTGTGTGATAGCGATTTGCAAAAAAAAAAAAAACCCAAAAAAGACAACATAGTTTACAAATTCAAGTGCCCTTTGGGAGATTGTATCTCCAACGAATTAAATAATATTAATGTTGGTCACATCACAAACTCGCTTTCACAATGCTTGACTCTACATTTGAATATACAACTATACTTAAACATGAAAACAATAGACAAAATCTAAAAATTCTTGAAGCTATATGCATAAAACAGTTGAAACCTAACCTGAACAAAATAAACTATGAAATCTCCACAAATATTCTTAAATGCCTATAATTGGTAACAGAAGCCATTGGTTTATACCAACAGCTTCCCATACTTAGTACTTCTCGTTTTCACTCTCGTGTGGTCACTTGTGACGTCATGAGCTGTGGTGCGATTTTCGCTTCCAGCGTCTTATAGGCACGAGTTTGTCGTTGGTTGGAAATCTTCCGTGTAAACAGAAACAGATTATCATCACAGTTTTGTCAGTGTATTGCTTAATATATTTTAATGTAATTGTCATCTTTGATAATGGCCTTATGTAAGCCGAAAGCTTAGATAGGATTAAAAAATATTGTGATTTTCTTTCTTCGTTTAATGATAATGTTATTAAGCTTATCAGACGATAGGAAAAGAATTTACATAAAATAGACAACACTTGTCTATATTATTTAATCAAATATGCATCAATATATATATATATATATATATATATATATATATATATATATATATATATATAGAACGAAAAATAATATGAATTCTGGCGTTCACATTATTGATTCTCACCAGTCGAGATGCGACCGCATCGAAACAAGAATGCATATTTGTAGTGACCGTATGTACAATTATAATATATATATATATATATATATATATATATATATATATATATATATATATACACCTAGTGAGCCAGACAAACCTACCTAGGTTTCACCCCTAAACGGATCGTCAGGGAAAGCTTGTATTGAGCTCTTTTGTTAGTTAGTTGTTTACTCGTATCAGGGTTTTTTCTTTGGGCTTCAGACCTGCATCTGTGCGATTTTGTCGGCAGAAGTTCATGTTTGTAGCTCTTTCTTTTTTAAAACCTTTTTCCCTCGAAATTGATTTGATTAACAAATAAAAAATTCGAGGTTTTTCAAACGAGTCTAGTTATCTATCTATCTATCTATCTATCTATATATATATATATATATATATATATATATATATATAGTGAAAAATCCTTGAAGCTTTGCTTCTACCATCATCATATGATTTTGACATCAAATACAGGAACAGCACCGCTCTCTCTATTTCTGGCTATTCAAAGTTTCCGGTAATTCCATTCAATTAAATGGAATATAATGGCAAGGGCTAAGCCGTTTAATGGCAAGGGTTATTCTCTCCATGCATCACGTTTGTTGCTTAATATATTTTTTCTGTTTTTTCTATTTACTTAGTAAATAAATAAATACGTTAATAAGTAAATAATAAGTATAATTTCTTATGTATTATGTGTTATTACTTATTTGCTTTTCTAATATAGATTTTTTTTTTTTTACATACATACATACATACATATATATATATATATATATATATATATATATGTATGTATGTATGTATATATATATAAATACACACACACATATATATATATATTTGTTATACATTTTATTATTTATTCATTTATTATTTTTTAATTCAAGCGCAGCTCTAGACTGGCGTCGAGCTCTCATCAATTTACAGTTAAGCTGGCAAGTTGTAGCCATAGATTCTATGCTAACGGTTTTTTCTCAAGTTTGTGGAACTTCCTTCCGGCTCCATGCTTTCCAGCCAACTTTAATCAGCAAAAATTTAAATGCAATATCAATCACTATCTATTGTTCATCTGATTACATCCTTCTCATCCCACTCATTATTAATGTTTCAGTTACTAATTCCTCTACACTCTTTAACCCCATGTATTTTAGTGTTACTTCTGCCTTGATTTAGGTGATACCAATTAACATTATATATATATATGTGTGTATGTGTGTGTGTGTGCGTGTGTGTGTGCACGTTTCATTCAATGCGACAGACAAGGTGCTTTCATTTAGTTTTTTTATACAATTTCTCATGTGATCTTATAATTTTTTTTCTTTTCGGTAGATAAATTATACAAAAAACTTTCCAATAGAAAAAAATAACAATTGAACCGTTTTATATAATTTATCTACTGAAAAAAAATTATAGTATCACATGACAAAGTGTATAAAAAAAATAAATGTAAGCACCTTGATCAGTCCATCATCAATATCATATCAATACAAAAAACAAATAAAATTAAAAGGTAAGAATACCGCCTAAGTTAAGATTCGAGCGAATCCCGGATATCTATTGAGAAAATAAATATCACAGAAAAAATTATGAAAACACAATGAAAGAGGAGGTTGAATTGATAGACCCCACTAGAATTATGTATAAAATGCAAATATTAGGCACTAACGCCCTTACAGACACATAAACACACAGACAAAAAGAATGTGTAGGTAAATGGTGTAGATAGATAGATAGATAGATAGATAGATAGATAGATAGATAGATATGTGTAGACTGGCATAGATAGATAGATAGGTATGAGGAAACTGACACAGATAAAACGATAGATAGATAGATAATGAGAAGACTGTCACAGATAGTTATGAACATAGATAGATATAAGTATATTGATATAGATATGAACAGACTGAAATATATATATATATATATATATATATATATATATATATAGAGAGAGAGAGGGGAGATAGATAGATAGATAGATAGATAGATAGATAGATAGATAGATAGATAGATGAATGAATGTGAGTAGACTGACATAGATAGATAGGTATGAGAAGATTGACAGATAGATAGATAGATAGATAGATAGATAGATAGATAGATACGTGTAGACTGTCATAGATAGGTATGAGAAATCTGACACAGACAAAAAGATAGATATGAGAAGACTGTCACAGATAGTTATGAACAGATGAGTTAGATATGTAGATAGATAGATATAAGTATATTGATATAGATATGAACAGACTGAAATAGATAGATAGATAGATAGATAGATAGATAGATAGATAGATATGAGAAGACTGACATTATTATCCTGTAAGGATAAAAGTGACTCGAATAGGGAGAATATATGAGCAGTGTGTACAGTCAT